CGATTGCCCATTTTAGCAGGCGTCCTGATGCGTCTGTTTTTTGCATTACTTGCTTTAGAGGGAAATTGGTGAGAACTTGTATTGAGTGGGCTTGAAAGTATGACCTTAGCTTTCTTGAGGCTGTGATAAGGGCGAGTACCAATTTTTCCATGTCTAGGTAGCGTGTTTCAGTTGGGAGAAGTGCTTTGCTGATGTAGTACACTGGCAATTGGCGCTCATTTTCTTCCTTGATTAGGACTGCGCTGACTGCCACGTCCGAAACCGCTAGATACAGTAGTAGAGATTCATTTGGTTGAGGTTTCGACAAGAGGGGCGCCTCTCCAAGGTGCTTTTTCAGAGCCTCGAAGGCTTCTTCACAATTCGAAGTCCATTAGAATTTCTTTCCTTGCTTCAGCACTTCGAAGAAAGGCAAGCTTTTATCTGTGGCTCTGGAGATGAAACGACTGAGTACGGCTATCCGACCGTTGAGACTTTGGACCTCCTTCGATTTCTGAGGTGACCTCATTTCTAGCAAGGCCGTTACTTTTATTGGATTCGCCTCAATTCCTCTCTGATTTACAATATACCCCAAGAATTGGCCCGATGCCACTCCAAAGGCGCACTTGAGGGTATTCAATTTCATATTATACTTTCTAAGTATCTGAAAAGTTTGGTCGAGGTGACTCACGTGTTCGGTTGCCTGGAGGCTTTTGACCAACATGTCGTCTACGTAGATCTCCATGGTTTTGCCAATGAGTTCGGCAAACATCATGTTGACTAACCTCTGGTATGTGGCTCCGGCATTTTTCAATCCAAAGGGCATGACTTTGTAGCAATACAAACCCCTGTCCGTAATGAACGATGTAGCTTCCTCATCAGGTCAGATCATGGGTATCTGGTTATACCCTGAGTATGCATCCATGAAACTCAGTAGTTCATGCCCAGCAGTAGAGTCCACAAGTTGATCTATTCTTGGAAGTGGGAAGCTGTCTTTGGGGCACGCCTTATTTAGGTTTGTGAAGTCCACGCATACCCTTCACTTTCCGTTGGCCTTTTTCACCAGAACCGGGTTGGATATCCACCTTGGATAGATGGCCTCTCTTATGAAACCACTGCGGCTAAGTTTGTTTACTTCGTCTTTCAGTGCCTCGTACCGTTCCGAATTTAGGGCACGCCTCTTCTGTCTATGGGGGGCATAGGAGGGGTTGATGTTAAGGTGATGGCAACTGATCTCAAGATCTATTCCCACCATATCTTCATGTTTCCAGGCGAAGACATCCAGGTTCCCTTCCAGGAAGCGTATCATCTCGGCTTTTGCTTCAGGTGACAATGACTTCCCTATACGCAAGACCTGACTGGGGTCTTCCGAGTTGACGGGGAAAGTTTCCAATTCTTCCATTGGGGTCGCATTTCGTTCAGAGTCAATTATTTGGGGGTCTAACTCATCAAGAGGGTGTCCTTGTTCAGGGGCCTCTTCCATGTCGACATCTCCCTCTTGTTTGGAGGTATGCCCTTGTTTAGAGGCGTCGAGCATTTCCACGTCCGTACCTTCGGCGAGTACCTCAGTTAGGATTACCTTAACAGCTCGGGCTCGGACTTTCGCAGCGAGTTTAGGTAGCATGCCCTGGAGCCCATCTGATCGCCTCAGACCGTAGCAATCCCATGTTTGATTGGAAATTTCATGCACAAATAGTGAATGGACGTGACAGCCCAAAGATCTTTCAGAGCGGGTCTGCCCAATACTCCATGATAAGCTGATCTGTGATCTACCACCAGAAATTCCATGAAGTGCTGGGCCACTAGGGGTGCCGAACCCATTTCGATAGACAGGGTGATCCGCCATCGTGGGATGATGTTGTCCCCAGTGAAACCGAATAGTGGGTCGGTCATGGGGATCAACCCATGTTCAATTTGTATTTTGTCAAAAGTGGATCCGAACAATATGTTCACGAAACTACCATTGTCAACGAGCATGCGTTTTAATCCGTTTCTAACTACTATGGCTCTTACAACCAATGCATCACAATAAGGGTGGTGAACTCCCTCTAAGTCTTCCTGAGAGAAGGTGATTGGGGACATCCTGTTTGCTGATTTTCATTCGTTGACAATGTGAATGATCATTGGGGGATCCTTTGCTTCTCTTGTGTAATTTCTCTGGGCATTCCTGATATTGCCACCGACGTGGGGTCCCCCAATGATAGTATCGATTTCCCTGATGACCTGGCTTCCAGAAAATTGGGCTTGATTTCCCTGTCTGGATTGGCATCGATCCCTTGATTCTCTTCTCCGAGGAGATTGTTCCCTGTGACCTCTCCTTCCCCTCCTCGGGGAGGCGGATCTGCGAAGGTGTTCGTTCCTGCTCGAAGTGTGCGGGTTGCTTCGATCAGGGCGTCGATTGGCGTCACGACACTCACTAGTGTCATGTCCATATAGTTGATGGCACGTACAAAACCTTGCTCCTTCCAAGGGTCTGTTTGACCTCTTCTTCTTCTTCTTATTGTTATCAGTTCTTCCAGATGGTCCCGCTTCGGTAGGGGCATTATCATATGCCAGCACTGGTACTGCATTCAATGTGGCAGAAGCTAGGGCCTGTCCGGATGTGGGAGCTATGGTATGTCCTGCTTGGGTCCATTGATGAGTAATAAGGTGTGTTGCGGGTCCTCGACCTACCTGCCTCTGAGGAGGAGGCAGTCCCTACGCGGCACGGTTGCGATGATCAATCATTTCTTCACTAACAATTTTCACTCTCATCATTTCCACCAGCTCGTCATATGTGGAGGGATTCTTGCTGCGTACGTCCCTCCAGAACAAAGTGTTCATGTTGAGCCCACCTTTCAGGGCTGAAAGGGCTTATCTGTCAGTGACCTGTTCGCAGTAAGTAATTTCGTCTGTAAACCTGGAGAGATAGCTTTTCAGCGTCTCCCCAGGGGCCTGCCTCATATCTTCCAGGCGTTGAACTGGTGTTTCTCCTTCCCTGCGTGAGAGGTACTGGTTCAAAAATACTTTCTTCAAATCTGGCCAACTTCTGATGCTTAGGGGAGGAAGTCTGCTATACCATACCTGGCAGCCCTGCCTAGTGTTAAATGGAAGGCTCTGCATTTTAGAGCAGGCGAGGCTCCCCTCAAGCTCATCTGTGTCATGTATTTGGTAAGGTACTTCTACGGATCCCCCTTTCTTTTATATTTGGGGATCTTAGGGGGCATGAAATTCGCTAACATTGGAAAGCTTCGGATCTCCCTTGAGAAAGGGAGGTTATCATCATCATCGTCAATCTCATAAGATCGACAGGGCCCATCTGACCCTTCATCATCTTGGATGTCCTGGGGGGGTGGGGGTGCTTCTCCTCGACTTCCCCAATTGACTAGGTTCCTCCTCTCTCTCCTATTTCTAGGAGGAGGAGGGGGAGCATGTTCTTGTTCGTGATCCGGACGAACTGATCCTCGTGCTGGATGGACCCTATTGCTAGGATCCTCCCCTATCCGGTCGAAGACGCTTACCGACCTTTGGTCCTCATGTTCCTAAGGGAAATTGTCCCCCAAGCATGGTTCTGATGACTAACTCCTTTGCACATAAGATGTAGCTTCGGCGTTCATCTCCCTTTCGAGGGGACGTTCTGTGTGCCGGCTCATGTGGCCTCGGGAGTGAGATACAGGGGCTTCCCGCACCGGATAAGATCCTTGGGGCATTTAATAGCCCTGATGACCCTGGGCTTGCATGAGGAGTTCCTGCATTGCCATATTCTGAGCTGCTATATCTCTCATACCTGCAGCTATCTGAGTCATTCCTTCAGTGAGTATGGCTGTTCTTCCACCTCGGCGACGTCGGTGATGTGGTCTCTGATGAGTAACATTGTTATGGAGTACCTCTTCTTTAGAGGCCTCTCTCATAGGGTTGTCGTCTTTATGGCTGTAGTTCATCCTACCTCTTTTTTCAAGGGTAGTGAGACTTGGATTGTAACTCGACTTTATTCTTTTTCAAGAATGTCCCCTTTTCAGGGTCAGTCGCTAGTTTTCCGGTAACTTCTCCGATGGAGAATGCAAAACTTCGAATAGAGAGTGATTCCCACAGACGACGTCAATCTGTTGACTTCGAAAATTGGTCATTCCACGTGGCCAATTGAAAGCTACTCCACGTGTTCCTCCCTGCACACAATCAGCGAATAGCCAAGCGCACCTGGCCGGAACCAACGGGGGTGGTGACAGTCGTATACACTCCGATGGTCAAGTCAGGTTTAAGTGGTTGGAACAGTACCCAGGGGCTATGCAAATCAATGATAAAGGGGGAGAAGAAAATATATAAGCTTGCTATGGAGTGCTATATAGTAAGAGTTTCATTACCTCTGCCTCTTGTCAAACCTTGGGTATTTATAGGTGGTATGAACCGTTGGATGTGGGACGCGTGTATACATCTAGCGGTATGAGGCGTCCGCTCATAGGCGTCAATCAACCGCGTCTGTAGAGTGGGCGGACAGTTTGTTTCTTTTGAGTTGAATTGACATAAAGTTGATAAGTCACATCAACTAGCCTCATGGAGACGTCAAATCAATTTAAACCTTAGGTGCAGGAAGGATCTTGGAACAAATCTCTTTCTGAAATTGGCGGTGGATCTTCTAACCAGGGTCCACTTGGTCTCGACCTCGGGGGTGAGGTGCTTCGGCAGGTCAGTGGGAGGAATCACTATATCACTTCGGAAACACTTCGGACGTGTCTTTTATCAGGTTGGAATCTTCGGACTGGTTTTTTATCAGGTCGGAATATGTGGTGCTGCGCGTTCCAAGGCATATAAGATCGGAGCGTAACAATATACTTGATATAGAATACCAAGCCTATTCGAAGACCGGATATTTCCTCGTCACCGATCAAACCATGACGCCTTCTACCTCGAATCAAAACCTCTCCCTAACATTTAAACATAGTTCACAAAGATCTCAACTTGAAGAAAGTCAATCTATATGAAAAGCAGAATGGTGAAGATATATCAAGATAAGATATAGTTCTAAAATGAGAGACAATGAGAATTACCTTGTCAGGAGCAAGAAGCCCAGCCATGATCTTTAAGATGGTTGACTTACCAGTCCCAGAAGGCCCAATTATTCCAACAGCCTCCCCATGCCTAATCTACGAATGGGCTAAAGTAAGATTAATACGCCATGAGATTAGGAATATTCTTAAGATAAATGGTAAATAAAATAATATTTAAATCTTAAACTCTAAACGTGCATTATTATATGACTTGCCAATTATATACAATAGAGAAATGGGCATACCATGATATCGTCATGTGATACATGTAGAAACTGATGGAACACAATAGATGCACGTAGGCATGGAAGAGAGAGGGGGACAACCTATCCAGGATGTGCATAAATCAGAAACATATAGCATAACACATTTAATTCTACAAAGAAGAAAATTTTCACCTTGAAGCTCACACCTCTTAAGATATGCTTCTCTAAATGACTTGTAGACGTTTCTACATTCAATAAGCACATATGATTCATCATCAAGCTCTTTTCCCACACTCAAATTCTCTGTTTCATGTGAACCCTGGAGAAGGAATACATAGATACAGTGCCTCGTGAACTTACTGTAATGAATATGAACAACAGTACTATAAGCTCAACTATACAAATACATTGCTCCATGAACTCACTGAAAATGATTTGAACAGAAGTAATGTGAGCTCAATCAAATTCAACCTTTAGCAATTGTCATCCAAACATGGAGTCTGTTCTACAGGTTGCCCATTGACATCAAGATCAAGTGTGAAGCAAACTAATGGATAAATATTAAAGGAAAAATGCATTTGAGAAACTATGAGTATAAAACAAAATGCTATATGAAGCAAAACTTAGTTATCATCCGTGATCTGCTAAAATAAATACTAAAAATGGCACCATCAGGTATAAACTTAATGGAAATTTGCGGACAAATCTAAGTTCACGGAATGATAATCTAACAAACAGTTTGGCAAAACTATTAATTTAAGAAGAAATTAACTTCTTGACCCCAAATACTCCTTAAAAGCAAAACTCGATAGTTAGATGACAAATGTATATAACAAACTGACAAAAATAAATGAAATGCAACTGAATAAGATCAATAGAAATATATTCTGAATAAGATCAATAGAAATATATTCTGATATCACAGCTAAACTTAACATTGCAAAATCATAAAACCCACGAAAGGTTTCAATTTCGAACTATTTTTAAAAAATTTCTACTCCCAGGACCCAATTCTATGCCTTCAAAGATGCAATTCTAAGCATTTTATTCAAACATAAAAGTAAAAAAAAGATATTAAATTACAATCGAAGGAAGAACCATAGGTTCTTACAGTGAATTTCGTGGGTTTGATGTCCGCGATACATTTACAGGCGGAAATAATCTTTTTAAATCTTATAGGGTTTTGATGATCATCAACCAAGAATCCTGGAGGGGAGCGAAAAGAACAAGAACCCTTGCCACTACTGCATATGATATTTTTAAGAGTATGCGTGTATACAAACGAACCATCACCGGCACCAACTGATGAAAACATTGATGACACTTACACACAATTCCAGTTGATGGGGTTTTGAATCCAAATGGACGATTTTGAGGCCAACCCAAATCCAATTAAATGGAAAATCAGATTCTTCAATGCAAATTGTGTCAAATTGGCAACCCAGAATATTCCTTAGTTGGTACTTTTTTTTTTTTATTAGGTTAATAAATATTTATTGATCAAAATTGGGTATTGATGCAAATTAATTTTAGTCTTAGTTAAAGCATCTAAGAGTCATTTTCTATTTTTATGCAAAGTCTTTGTTTCAATTAATTGTGTTGTCCAATCAAGGAAGTCAATTAATTTTCGTAGATTAATTTATTTGAAATTTAGGTATTCTATAGGTCATTACTGATGTGAAGAAGTCATTTTCACTTTAAATAGAGTCAAGAATGTAGCTTTCTGATCATCAATATTGTCGAAAGTTTATCTAAAACCCTCTTACAAGCTTTTTCCAGATTTTCCTTAATAAACCTTGGCTCCAACGGTGCTCGGAGTATTTTAATTTTGGTTACTTCACTTTCAGCTGTCATTAAGTGGTATCATAGCCTGCAAATGTCTATTATCACAGCAGATTCATGGTTGGACAAGGTGACGATAGAGTTGTTGAAGGAGTTACCAAGGAAGAATTTCAGAATCTACAGCAATAGATAGCACAATGATGCTCTAGATTAGAGCGGGCTAGTCTATTAGAATTTACTTAACCTCCTAACATGGAGCAAAGGGGAGGCCCAATCTACAGTCAACAAAGAAATCGACCTCATATTGAACAGATTCATGCGTTACAAGATGAATCTTCAGATGAGGAAAGAAATGCAAATCCTTTTGGGAGACATCATGTACATGACCAAGACTCACGCATCAAGTTAGAAGTTCCTGACTTTAGTGGCGAAGAACAACTGAACGAAGTCCTAGATTGGTTAAATGAAGTGGAAATAATGTTTGAGTTCCTTGACTTTCTAGAAAATAAGAAGGTGAAATTGGTGGCCATAAAGCTAAAGGGCTATGCTTCTTCTTGGCGGCAACAAGTTCAAATGACACGAGTCCAATCTGGAAAAGACAAAACCCAAAGCTGGCCAAAGATGCAACGGATGATTCGAAGGCAATTTCTTCCATTAAATTATGAAGGAATTCTCTTCCAGCAATATCAGTCACTTCAACAGGAACATTGACTGTTTGGGAGTACACAAATGACTTTTACAAAATGAAAACACTGGTGCAACTAGGCGAAACTGAAGTTCAAGTGATACATCGTTATTTGATGGGCTTAAAGCCAAGTATTCGAAATTTTGTGGAGCTACAACCTTGTTGGACATTGTCTAGCGCAGTCCAACTTGCAATGAAGGTCGAAAGCCAACAAAGACAACCTAACAATTGATATACTCAGCCTGGGAGGGAACATGACCAATTTAATGCAAATCCTACTCAAGACAGTGCTGGATGGAAGTTATCAACAGCTCCGAAGCATGTGCAGAATTATGGTTCAGCCACTAGTTCACAAGGTCGTGGTCAAGGAAAAGGTAGAGGATGAAGAATGGGAGGTAACACTATTGAAAGAAACAATTCCTCTCAATTTGTTGGAGGAAAAATAATTTGCTATAAATGTGGAAAAGAGGTTCACAAATCTTCAGAATGCAGAAAGTTAAATAGTAACTTACTAGCTAGCGGAGGAATTGATGATCCTAGCAATATTGAAGAAGTTCCTGAAGATAATTGTTCGCAAAATTATTTCTTCTCGATTTTAAAACCCACCGCAAGTGTACGGTTCGTTAACAAGTAGTAAAGTGGACTATGAGTCCAAGTATCGTTCCAACGAGGATTAAATTAGCTCTAATTAAACTAATGTGACCTTAACCGAATCTAATTGAATGAAGATTTGGTTTAAATATGAAAACCCTAATTTTGGGAGAAATCCCCAATTCGAAACCCTAATTGCAAAGAAAACCCTAATTTCAAAATTGGAAACCCTAATTTCAAAATTTCACTAATCTAATGAAATAAATCTGCAACTGAAATGTAAAAATGCAATTTTAGAATTATTGTATTGAAATGAAATCATTAAGAACTTGAATCCCCAATTGATTATTAAAAACCCTAATTTCACAAATTCAACGAATCGATGGAACAAAATGCCAATTCAATGTTCCTAAATTATCCAATACACTCTCTCGATATATATTGAATCTACTCTTACACACCACCAGCCTATTTTCTATGGATGATGCAATGTATAAGAATGCATGACATTTTATGAACATTTTCATGAATTGCATAAAGCATAGAAGTAAGTTTCCATCCCCTATCGGACCCTATGTCGATTTATATTCTATCGAATCTATTCCCCTTCTTTCGAGAGCAAAGAATAAATCATCTACAATCACATAATAATTGGCCAAATAATTATGGAAACATTCAAATCATATAAATCAAACATTTGTCTAATCGAAACTAATGTTGAATTTATGAAATAACGGAAATTAAAATCATCAAAAGGTTCATCAAATTCCTAATGAACAAAAACCCTAGCCTATAATCATCATTACAAAATCAAGAAATTGAAAAACGAAAATTAAAAGATAATAAGAATACACCCGTATGGAATTTCTTCAATCCGTGTGTATAATCTTCAATCCGTTTCGAGCCCGTGTGAAATTGAATCCAAAATCAAGTTTCTTGCCTCCAATTTTGGTCTCTCCCTTCTCCCTGGTCGTTCTCTTCCTTCATATGATGAATTTTGGTATTTATATCGCGTCCAAATTAAGTAGGAAAGGAGTTTCAACCAAAACGAAAAACTACGCCCGAGACCCAAACCTTATTCTATGCGACCGCATAGAAGGAATCTATGCGGTCGCATAGATCAAATTGTTTGGGCTCATTGAGTCCCTGGAGCCCTCTATGCGACCGCATAGAAGGTTACACTATGCGGTCGCATAGAGGTAACCATCTATGTGATTTGTTCAATTTGGTCCCTGAACTTCTTTGTTGCTTCTCTTGACTTCTTTCTTCGATTTCTTCATCTTTTCAACCAATTTTATCTTCCAATTGATGATTGATACCATCAATTCTTATGCCCCTCATTCGGCATATCTTTTGAGTATTTGCGCTTTAGTCCTCCAACTTTCAATTGTCTTCATTTCAGTCCCTCTTCAATATTTTCTTCTTCCATTTGTTTTGCTTTGTCATTGAGCTCATACTTGGCATGTCTTCCCTCTCGTTTTGCATTTAGCTCAACTTTTCAATATTTGCACCTTTGGTCCTCGAACTATCAAATTGTTGCTTTTTGGTCCTTCTTCGGCTCTTTTCTCCTAAATTCCACAATTTTCATTGAATTACCTACAATGCATAAATTTAACTGGATTAAGTCACAATTCAACCATTTTATTCATGTTTAAGTCATGTTTATGATCCAAATAAGCGTGTAAAAACACACTTATCAATAATGAAGGGGAAGAAAGTTTGTTGGAGTTCGCTGATGATGGAGTCACTTATGAAGATAAAAATCTCCCTAATCTTGTCGTTCGACATGCCATGTTAACTCCTAAAGTGACTGAAGGCGATTGGAGGCATAACAACATTTTTAAAACAAAATGTTCTAGCCATGGACGACTTTGCATTGTTATTATTGGTGGAGGACGGTGTGAAAATCTGGTGTCACAAGAAATGGTATCAAAGTTGAACCTTAAAGTTCAACCTCACCCAAAGCCCTATGCATAGCATGGTTTAAAAAGGGAGGCGAGATAAAGGTGACACATCAATGCCTTGTTTTTTTCTCGATTGAAAAATCTTACTCAAGAACTAATGGAAAAGAAAGAATTGTTCCCTGCATTCCTTCATTTCCAAAAATAGTAATTAGGCAGAGGTAGGGGGAGGGAAAGGGGACTTGGTTCTTTTTCCCATAATAAGACAAAGTTCTATGTGATGTGGTTGAGATGGAGGCATGTCATCTATTACTAGGATGACTGTGGCAATATGACAATATAATTATCCATTATGGAGACAAGAATGTTTATGCCTTCTACAAGGACAGAGTCAAAGTAGATCTTACTTCAATGAATGATGAAGACTTTTCCAAGTCTAAAGCAAATAATGGATATTCTTATTTGAGCTTGCAAGAATTTCTGGTTGAATTTGAAGCTGAAGGAGTTGCTTATGTTTTATTGATGAAAGAAGCAAAAGGTGACCAGCAAGTTATACCTTCTGAAATGTGCACTCTTCTTGAAGAATTTACAAGCACTTTCCCATCAAATTTGCCCTCAAGTTTGCCTCCTAATCAAAGTATTCAACATCATATTGATCTTGTACCTGGAGGTAGCTTACCAAATATGCCACACTATCGAATGAGCCCTAAAGAGCATGAAGAACTTCAAAAATAGGTGGAAGATCTGCTGAAAAAGGGGTTTGTTCGGGAGTCAATGAGCCCATGTGCGGTTTTAGCCCTCTTAACACCAAAAAAAGATGGTACGTGGAGAATGTGTATTGATAATCAAGCTATCAATAAAATTACAGGAAAGTAAAGATTTCCAATCCCAAGGCTAGATGACATGTTGGATATGCTGCATGGAGTTAAGGTTTTCTCAAAAGTTGATCTCAAAAGTGGCTACCACCAAATTCGAATTCGTGAAAATGATGAATGGAAGACGACATTCAAGACAAAAGAGGGACTCTATGAGTGGAGGGTAATTCCATTTGGTTTATCAAACGCTCCAAGTACATTCATGCGTCTGATTAATCATGTCCTAAAGGCATTCATTGGAAAGGTTATTGTCGTCTATTTTGACGATATCTTAATCTACAATCAAAACAAAGATACTCATTTGTTACATTTGAGGAAGGTTCTCAATGTTCTACAAGAAGAAAAGCTCCATGCCAACTTAAAGAAATGTCAATTTATGACAGACTCTTTGCTGTTTTTGGGATATATTCCAATTCTAAAGGGATTCAAGTGGATGAAAGTAAAGTTGAAGCAATAAAAAGTTGGCCAACACCAACTACAATTGCTGAAGTTCAAAGTTTCCATGGCCTAGCTTCATTTTACAGGCGTTATTATCAAGAATTTCACCAGTATAATTGCCCCAGTTACTGACTATTTGAATTTCCAGCGGATTAAAGACAGGCTCATTTCGGCACCAGTCTTAGCTTTGCCAA